CAAGCTGGGGTTCCGCCGCTCTGCGGTTGCGGAAAATCCGATTGTACGAGATTCTTGCATTAAAACAAAAAAATTCCCAGGATGCGGAGAAGGTTAAAAGTGAAGGCTGAGGTCCTGCGCACGTGCCGATGCAGAAGTGTGTGCCCCTTACCCCTCCCCAACCCCGCAACTGTCATGGTTTTGCTGTCACAGCACGTAGCCTTCTATTGCAGAATCTGCTAGAGTTGTATTGTAACTTTGTATCTGCAGCATGCACCAGTTATTCTAGCCTTGTACTTTTATGACTTAAAAGCAAAGTCAGTCGTTTGGGTACAGTAGGAAAACTACCTCTAACTCTGTTACTGTTGTCTCACAATTTTAGGAGAGTGCAGAAATGTCTCCCTTCGAAAATAAAGGACTAATACTGAGCATAATGGCAGGGACTGCTGGAGTAAGCCTGATGCTGATTTGGTACCGTAAGATCCGAAAACCTGGTGCTGTGCGTATACCTGCCTTCCTAAATGTAGGTAACAGGCTTAATTCTGTGGGCTTGCAAAATGAAGTTCCTAATGAGCAAGGAGCAGTAATGGTTTTACATGGAAGGCAACTGCAGATACTAGAAAAACTGAATGGCTTGCTAATAAGTGTGGACGAACTGAAGAGAGAGGTGAAATTCCTGAAAGAAGCTATTCCAAAGCTTGAAGAGCTTGTTCGAAATGAGCTTCAAGGGAAGGGAGATGTTCAGAGAGTTAGCCCATCACACAGAGCAACAAAGCGGAGAAAAGCTGAGACAGCTTCTGGTGCAACAGAAACTACCAGCTCTGAGGAGGCCGAAAGTGAAGGAGGGTGAGTCAATTATATTTTGTATATACTACAGTACACATAGAGTGCAAATTGCATCGTTATCTATGTGAAACTTTGTATTGTAAACAGGAGCCCTTTTAAAGTTTTATGTATATTTAATGTTCCTCTATATCCAGGGAAAAAAACCCGACCAAACCACAAAAGTTCTGATTAGTGATTTTTAGATCAGAGAAAAGTCTGGGTGACCATCTCTGAATCTGCACTATGGCTGAAGCTGGCTTAATGCCAAGCATAATACAGATTTTTAAGGGTGCATTTAGTAACAATCTGATGCAGTATTCCTGCATCTCAATGACATGTCTCTCAGTGAGAGACAGAGTTTAGAACAGTGGTGTGATTTTAAAAGTGCTTCTAGTAAGAAAGTAGTCTTCTGTCTCTGACAGAGTTTGTTCAAACTGTATGGAATGCTCTTGTGCTTTTCATGATAATTGTCTTCTCTGGGCCTTAAAGATGAGTTATTACAGTGTTCTGCCTAAAGGTATTACATGCTGTGAAAGCTACGTCCCAATGCAACACGTGTACAAATGGCAGTTTGTTTATGTATAGTTGCCATTGTATACACTTTCTGGCAGCTTAAAAAGTAGTCATGAGGGATTTAGGGTACTGAGTTAGTAAGGTAGAAAGTTCCTGGTTTTGATCACACCTTGTAGTCCCCTTGTGACTAATCAGGATCAGATGTACCTGGAGTCCAGGAGAAGGACTATATTTTTGTCTTTTCATGTGTTACCCAATATGCACTCCAGTTGTAATGTAAAATGGTGATGACTTTACTCTCTTGTAATTGCAACTCTGTTTCGATATAATCAGATTAGATACTTATATGCAATTTAATAAGTGTATATTTATAGCAACTGAGGTTTTTGAACATTTCCTCAGTGTGTTATACATACTAGTGTAGGCAGCATTATGTCTGTAAATTGCCTATCTTAAGTCACTTTTTTCTTTAAAGATATATTAATTAACTGTAATATCCTGAAGACAGCAATAGGCTGCATATAATAGTTCATGAAATTCTATTTTTGAAGAGTTCCTCCCAATTTATTTTCAGCTCCTGTGGGCAGAATTTCTTGCTCTGTTACATCCCAGCCCACATGCTTCACAAGTCTTATATTTTGATACCATATTTTGAGACCTGTCAGTTATGTTATGAACCAGTTCTTTATTTTTTTTAAGTATTCAGTATTGGCAGGGATATTCAAAGACATTCCCCCTTCATATGGTGTAGAAACATTTCAGTTCTATTAGTTTCTCAGATTGTTTTATCCATTAGTTGGTTTGCAGAGGCCTTTATGTTGTGCATTAAATACTTGGAGATGTAGGTAAGGCTAAAGGTCCTGTTTATGAATAATCAGGTTCACAGACATAACACAGGAGTTATTCCACACCTAGCATTTGAGAAGATCCCATTTTCTGGTCAGGAGTGATGCATTGCTTTTTCAGAACTAGCCAAGGAAACTTGTCTGTTCAGGTTCTTCTGTGTGACGACAAGGCTGATGAGATGATCCAATACAAGTGATTATAGCGTGCATGAGCTTTGACTGTGTCCTTAAGAGAGGCCTTCTCTAACAAGTGTTTGTGTACAGTTGGAAGGAAGGAGGATAATTCAAGGTTATAGATAGTGTTAGTCATTTGGTTATGTGCTTTTCCAATGCTATTTTTTAATCCCTTTTGGTTTTTTCCCTACCAATGCCTTGTACTTGACATGCTTGTTTTGCATATTTTCTCTAAATTTAAGATTTTTTTCATTTAAGTAATTTTCTTTCTGTATTTTTTCCTTCCCTTTGCAAATGGAAATAGATTGTTAACCCTAATGTGTGTACGTTTGCAAAGTATATAGCTTTTTCTGACGCCTTATGTAACTATAATGACAGTGGTACATATTCTGTGAGAACTTGCCATGAGAGACAATAACAACATACTGTTTTTCCGGTTAATGTGCATCACCACTTCATGTGCTGTAGGTATAACACCATGTGCATTGTTTTATACTGTTCTTTTTACAGAAGAGTATACACACAATTTTACACACAATAAGGCATTCAATTGCTAGTTTGTGCACTAGAGAAATGATTTTTCTCTTTGTTACAGATTAAACATTTTTTCACTTTCTGTATTCTATCTAAAGTGCATGCAACATGTTTCACTGCCTCAGCAGTGTTTTCATGATCTAGAAGATAGGATTTGCTTGTGTTAAGCACTTTGGTTTTAACTGACAAATGGGTAGATGCTGGGAATTGACAGATGAAGTAATCTGAAGAGTTTTATGGACTTGTGCTGGACGACTACATTGGTTTCAGATTTGTAAACTTCTTCCAGAAAAGCTTTTAATGCTACTCGTTTTTTCCATAAACTATTTGAAGCTGGCAGTCTTTGGTATGGTCCTCACTGCTCTGATCTGCTCTGGTCATATTCTCCATGTCACTTTTGATATTCAGCACCTTGGGAAGAGAAGCTTTGTATTTCGCCTTTCAAAAATTATGCACTTCTCTAAGTGGAAAAATATCACATGCTTTTTAATAAATGAGATATATTTTAAGATAATAGCAGGTAGCCTGAATAGAAGGTAACTGAATGGATGGGACATGGACAGAATGCTAAAGAGCCTACGTTTTCTAGTCTGTGCTTTTCTGTATTCTATTCTTAAGAGTTTGTTTCTGTTTCCATCATTTACTAGTGAAAACCTCAATCATTAACATTTGAGAACGTGTAACAAGCACTCATTCCTTTACAAATACAATAAATTGTGTCTAGATGATCACCTGGGATGGTGCATGTCAACAAATTGTCCTCTTTGTGCTTTTAAAGCTGTTTCTTCCCTGATACAGCAGTGATGAACCACTGACATCACTGTCATGTTTGGCACCAGTCTTCGGCTGGTCTGGCATCCAGGCTTTTCAAATTACATTTGGCATCAGTCACCAGAAAGACTCACCACAGTAAATCTTTTCCTACAGATGTTTTATTTGTAGTTGTTCCTTGAAATAGTTTAAA